CACGACAAAAAAATTGAAGCAAAAGCATGCGGATTCAAAAATTTAACTCATTGAATTTCTAAAATTCGAGATATTTTTCAACAATTTTCTAAAATGTACCTTTAAATTGTCCTATTATTATGTATTTAGATTTCTGACGTAATAATTGAAGTACTAACAGAAATATAGTGATTTTTCTCTGATGCGATTCCCGTAAAAACGACTGTGAAAATGACGTCTCCTGAATTGACGGCGCACCACACTTTTGTTAAAATACGTGTAATGCTCGAGATATCGGCAACATAGATCCAAAATATGCATAAATTTTATAAAACATGTAGTAAACTAGGCTACTCGTGACATTCGCCCACAAATAGCAAATTGAAATTTTAGACAGTTAGACCTCTGTAAAAAGAAGATTATAGACGAAAAGTTAATTTTATCCGGACTGTAAAGAACGTGATTGAGAGTCACCAATATCATACTATATCTCATAAGTAGTTTTTGGTTTTAAAACAAAAAAAAAGAATATTCCTTACTTGTTTAATAGATTTTAAGCTTGACAAGAAATGGTGTTTTGATGTTGAGTAGATAGGGTAACTCAAACTATACCAGGTACTCAAGGGAAAATGTTGAGAAAATGAAAGCTCAATCACATATTTTTTTTTATAATGCTTGTGACGTCGAAGATTGCTGCGCCGTGACTTAATGGTATGTCCTGAAAAATCACTCAAAATTAATACCAATTTACAACATTTTGATATGAAATTTTGAAGACCATATAAGTAAAGATTCTTTTATATTATTTGTGAAATTTTGCCCGATTATGTCGTCAAATATTCTTCTGTGCAACAAGTCCGCGTAATTATGTGTCAGATTAAAAAGTAAAATAGGAGGTGCACAATGGCAATATGTAATAAAGATTCTGTGAAAGTTTCATTCAGTTACACTCGGTGGTATACGAGGAGTTTGCGCATAAGAGATGTGTACTCCAAAGCGTAACAGACAGACGGACGTCAGACAGCTGGACTTACAGACGGACGGACATACCGATTACTATATACCCTCCCGCTTTTCAAGCGGGGGGTATAAAAACCAATAATAATTTCAGTACAGACTATTACAATTCCAATGGGTACCAGTTGCGCCCCGTTATAAGTAGACGTATTTTTGCATTCATATAAATTAGAATTTGTCCAAAATCTTATATATGAAAAACACTTGCTATGGCCTTCAACTGGACATTTAGATATGTCGACAACGTAATATCATTTAATAATGGTTATGTCAATTCTTATGTCGACACGATATATTCCGAAGGGCTTGAGATACACAGAGTCGGACATATCTGTTTCATATTTGGATATTTTACTTAAATGACTTTAATGGTAATCTAACAACCAAGCTTTATGATTAACGAGATAACTTTTACTTTTCAATCGTCAACTACACTTACCTATGCAGCAAGTACATGTAACCTGCATACGGAGGATATTCAAGTATTTCATAGAAGAATTATAAATGTTACAATGATATCAAGTACATGTCATTTAACGTATCGCATGTGAGTGCAAGCTAGATCATGCATATGCAAGATGATAATGTTATGTTGTCTAATTGATGAGAATGAAATAAAAAAGATATCATTGTTACTGTATTTCAAATTTGTTGGTTATTTTACGCATTGCGCGCGAATGTGCATGCATGTACTTGCATTTTATTACAGTGTATGATAGCTGCATTATGTAGAAATTCATTATACCTATTCATATTCTAAAATTCATCCTGTTTTATTCAGAACCAAGAAAGTTATAGGCATTTAAAGTTTAAGTCAATCAGATTGCAGCTCACGTACATGCGCGTGCTTTCATGTTAATTCTTATATATTATGCTTTAGAACATTGTATTGTATGTCTCTGTTTAAATTTTCAAAGTATTTTGTTAGAATAGAATAAAAGAATTTTGTTTCAGTCAATTAGAGTGAAACATATATTGAGATAACGAAAATTATGCAAGATCAAACGTCCATAAAACAATACAAAGTAGGAACAGAGCAAACACGGCAAAGCGAACATGCATCCGCAGGGGTTCATGATATTTTGAACATGTCTCATGTCTACACTACTAATATATCGCTCTTCAATGAGTCTCATAGCATTTCATAAAATAAAATGACGGCTAAATCATTTTTATTGGCCATTTTATGTGCACAAAATGACCTAGATTCCACAAATCAACATAACATGCCTACTGACGATAAGATGATTTCGCCTTAATCGGATAAGTAGTTTACGAGTTCACTCGCGTACAAAATGTACTTAGGAAGAAGAAGGTTGATTGATTGATTGTAGATTGTTTCATCTCCCAGTCGAGAATTTTAACCCATTTAGAGACATCCTCATATATCGGTGATGATGTCAATTTTTTATCTTTACTCAGCACTCAGGTCAGTGAAACACGGAACCACTGTTTTTAAGGCCTCATCAGAAGGACCTGCAACATTAACTTCAAAGTGAAATCACTTCAATATGCCGAGCGCATGGCGTATTTACTTTTAGTGACCTTAAGATCCGAGACACAGTGCCGAAGTAGGTGTTGAGATGATGCAGATCACTCAATGCTTAATGACCCAGAGGATGAAATTAAGTTCTATGGTCGATACATGACCTTCTCAGCAAATAAAATTTATCATTGAGTCAAATGCTGACTGACGTTTTTCATACTAATTGTTAGTCCATTATTTATACTCTGAATTGATGTGAAATTTTCAGCAACCAATGTCTGTTTTAGAGACACGTGAGCAGGTGGATTTCAATGAAAAAAAAATGATATAATGGACATAAAAAATGGGTACCGTCCTTGGCGACAGAGACTTGCAACAACCAATGTACTGTTTGCCAAAATTCAACAAATTATCACTGATGATATTTGATTAATTTAAAGACACATAGTAAAGTGGATAGGCATCATTTTGTGGGTAGTTTACACTCTTTTAAAGAAAAAATTGACAGTAAAAATGCTTTGTGCTCAATGGTCACCCTATGTTTTGAAAATTGAGTGAAAACGACAGCGTGTGAGAATATCGAGACAATTATTTTAAAAAATCAAAAATTGTAGTTATTCAGGTATGTCTGAAATTCAAACAGATAGTGAAACTTGAATCCATTGCTTTAAACCCTCAAACCAATTTACAATAAGATGCACTTATCAAAAATAGCCGAGATATGAGAAGAGCAAAGAATTGCAAAAGTATAAAAACAGTTCTATATGGCATTTTCTTAAATATTAGTGCATGGACTTTTTCTTCGAATTCTTATTCGAGGAAGCAGTTCAATATCTGGAGAATTCTAGAAAGCAAATTTTTGCCAAAAAAAAAAAAAGAAGAAAAAAAAAGAAAATCGAAAGGTTTCTGAATGGAAGGAACCAGAATCAGGAATCCACAACATTAAATTTCTTCATGATCCCACACTCTATGAAGAGTAAAGGGATTTTTGGGGAGAAACAGAAAATTAATGTTTTGTCACACCACGATAATTGCAAGATCTTTCAACTTTGATTGTTTCATTTTCCAAACTTGAAAAAAAACACCTTTCAAAAAGAAAAATCAAGTCCAGGAAATCATAAGATCTGCCATATTCTATTATACAAAGGGCCATACTAAAAAATGTGCTCTAAAACAATCAGAAATTGGACAAAAATGTCACAGACATGTGTTTTTAAAAATAAATTTCAAACAGTCTTAGCTTAGTGTAGTGATCTTGCATACTTTTAAAGTTAATTTCTTTGCAAGGACAATAGGAAAAATCATAGGATTTTTGTAATTAAGATCTTCTCCTCAGAACTTTTCGATTGTGAAAAAAATCAAATACTTAGACATTTATTATTATTCGTAGGGTTGTCCGATAAAATCGTGGACAAGTTGTCTCGCGTGAATAATAATCATCACTGCGTTCCGAAATTCACTAATACCTAATTTCTGAGTAAACATAGCAAATTTGAGATAGATATATGCATAAATAAACAAATTATGAGATTTTATATTATTTATTGTATCGCCTTACGGCGCACGGATGATTACGTCAAAGTGTCTAAAAGTGTCACGTTTTTTCTTTCCGCTAAAAATAAAGTTGGATAAGTCCCACTTAAATTAAGTATTTCATTGATGAACATACTTTAGTCTCCACACACAGTTTGAGGAACCTATCTGGCACAAACGTGCGATCTTCTGACGATTTATTGGTAAGTTACGGACATTATTCCCACCATCGCTCAACTAATAGAAAATCAGTGACAGCATCATTTATAGCCGTTTGTCCGTATGTTTTGTACTACCTGAGGACTCCATCCAGACAGTTTTCATTAAGAAAACTCCCATTTCATTTCTATACTTAAGATCTGGTGATTTTTTGGGGATTCTTTTCTTCAATATCCATTTGAAGTTTCTTACGGCGTTATCATACCATCTAAATCAATGCTAACTGCTCTCCATTGCGCCGTAGCGTCATCAAACGTCATCATTTTTCGTGTGTTGTGTTCGCCACTTCTCATTTCAAACGTCCATGAAACTGCCAAAAATTAATCAAATGCCTTATAATATTTAATTAAACGGCAAAATAAATTGTGGAAACGAATAAGTATAAATTTTACCCAAATCTTATCTATTTAAATGTTTTATTTCAGATCAATACTCATGTACTCTCTAATAAAATCTTCGTTTTGTGACCGTGCTCCATAGGACCGTACCCTGGGCAAATTCAAGCATAATAAAATCTTTATTTTTGTCTATATTTTATCCGAAAAGAAACATTCACTGAAAATTTCAGCTTACTGCGTCCATTATTTTTCGAGAGAAACGCTTTGTCCACGATTTTTACCGGACAACCCTCGTATACCGTATGCTGCATTATGTATTGAACGGCACTCATATAGTCTTTAGTTAAGGTGATATACCCAATGCTTTTAACTTGATTTTCTATTAGGACATGACACATTTAAATCAAATATTTTTATTCAGAACAATTTACAGCACAATGATTATAAGACTACAGTGCATTAAATAGAAAAATGTTAATCAGATTCCTTATATTTTGGACAACCATTCGTACTCCCAATTACGCAAGATGTGCTTTGCATGGTTACGTGCCGCACTCCTAAAGACGCTTCTCTTGTGGCGATGATTTGGAATAATCTGTATGCTGTATGGAGCTACTGCAAATCTCGACCAAGTATTGCACGTGGTACCAGACCAGGTTTCAATTTTTCTTTGAAGCGAGGCTTTTATAGTTTCTTTCTTGAGATTTTCTGTTATATGAAACTGTACCTCTTGCACGTTAGTGTTGTGAACCAAAAGGACCTGCAAATATAACCAAATGAATGACTTATTAACCTTCAAAAAAAAGAAAAGGCACTTGTATAAATGTACTAATTTTGATTAGGCCGAGATAAAAAGTAATTCTAACCTTAAGGACATGTCGAAGATTTGACAAATCTTTCGAAGAATCTAGGAATACACGAACAACCCCACTAGCCCTGATTGCCATTTCCTGTGATATGATTTCCAACAGGGGAGATGGATTATCTTCAGGAGTAAAAAGTCTTTCCTCTACACTACGTGAAGGGTCGGGTCGAAATGTTGCAGTTAAAAGCGGCACTTTTAAATGTTGAAAAATAAAAAAAAAATAGGCATGTTAATATAAATGTATCAATTTCATTATAACATCTTTCATTTTAAAGTATAAGGTTATTCAATTTAAAAAAAACTAAGACATAACCAGTCTTACTCAAAAGGGAATAAATCTGTATATTTTCAACACATATAAATCCAAAATGACAGGCTAGTGAATGAACTGTTGATTCGTGGTTTCCAGTATTAAAAAATGTCGCTCTGTTGTACAGACTTTGGAATGGTCTGGAGGCTCTTTTAATATATTTATTAACCATGACAGAACATCTTCGAACTTTTTTGTCCCAGGTAGACCCTAAAAATTTTAAAGAAACATATAAATGCGTGGTTCAATTATAAATACTAGTACCTATATATTTTAAAAAATTATATTGGCTGTCAATTAAGTTTTTAAAAAAATGCTTGTTATAATAAATTTCATCTGTAAATACTTGTACCAGAATCCAAACATCCACCACAGGTGTCAACAATGCATGCATTTATTTCTGAAATTATCTCAGATCTAGGCAGGTTTTGAGACCCTGCTGCAGATGACAACCGTTCTTGGAGTAAATCAGCTTGTTCTTTCCTGTACTGAAGAGTCTTTGAACAGAATTCCAGATCTGTGGTGCTTTTGCATTGTCTATAATGATATTTTTGGAAGCAAGTGATAGTATTTCTATATATTTTTAAAAACAAAAATAAACGTTTATTTAATGAGGATTTTAGGTAAACAAAATATTGACTCACTCTTTTTGGCCTAGCTGGAAAACTAGGTAGGAAAGTCCTTGGTCAATTCGAGTTTGACAAGCTCTACTTTTATTCAGAGGAACTATGACAGGACCTCCTAAAATTATATTACCCCTGGTTATTCTTTGTAATACGTCCATAGTCAAAGTACATATCTATAATAAAGAATTAAATGCAGAGGACATACATGTACATACCTTTCAATGCTGTTCTCACACGTGGTAGCAAATTCAAATAGATTGACTTCCCGCCGTTATTCCACAAATCGATGTAGAGTTCTTCATTTCCATATTTCATTGGATGAAAGTCTAAATAAAGCCTGTCTTTATGACACCCTAAACCTATTGTTCTTTGCTGGGGTCTTGAAATAGGGGGACACATTCTCATTATAGCAATTCCTATTTTTATGAGATCTATCTCTGCCCCTCTCTTAGACGCAATTTCTACACTTTGCCCAACATGGAAACGAAACCTTTCATGAATGGGCCTCATATCGATATTTTCTAAATTGACTGATCTTGCTCGATAACCTGATAGAACTTCTATTTTTTCACCGAATTCATCTGAAGCTAGTTCTAAGCACTCTACAATTGAGGGATCAATTCGTAAAAACCTGTACCCGGGGCATCTGAAATCAGATATTGCATATCGCAAAGAGAGCTTTGAATTTTCATTTTGCCCATCAATTAAAAGGGGTATTCTTGATTCATTAGCAAAAAGAGAGGGAAGTATGTATTCCCGTTCAAAGTCTGTATTTCGATTGTTTACACCAGTAAAAATTAAACCGCTCGGATACATTATAATTTGAGAAATAAATTGTTCTTGAGGTTTCACAAAAACTTCCAAAAAGGTATCATTCATGTGTGTGACGAAATCAAAACCAGCGCATATTGCTAAACCGGCCAACTTGGCGTATGATATTGAAGACGGTTCTTCCATTTGAATCATTAAAGCCCTGTAAGAAAAGCACACTTTATCAATTCAAATTAAATCTTTACTGAAACATTTTTTTCTTGAAAATTATGCAAGCTGTACTTTTCAAATTTGTTATTTCTAACCTCCCCTCTCTATATAAGGACGATTCTTCAATCGAATTTCTGTTCTTCTCATTTTCCTCTTCAAAGGCTTTAAGAACTCTGATGTCTGTAAAATACAAATTATATTTGAAATAAATTTGTTTCTTTTGCCCGGAAAACATTTTTCGGAAAACGTTTCCATTTGAAAACCTATATGCAATGTTTACTTGATGAATGATGCCGAACCAAAACTGTAAGTTTTCGAAGCCTTAAAGCAGCTCTAGGTGTCATGAGTCTATTTGAACATATGTTCCACGAGTTCCTTGTTGATATTGAACTGCAGTTTGAACAAGGTCTAAGAGGGCTTCCACACCACATAGAGGCAGGATCCTCTGGGGCAAACTTAATATCGTCAAATGTGTACTGATAAAGCCTGCATAATGAAGAATTTTAATGATCAAAATCGCAACATATCTTTCAGAGTAACAATCACAAAATTTAAAAAATGATTATTAAACATAATTTACTAATATATACCTATCATAAATAGTATTATAAAATCTGGAAACCCTTGAAAATGAATTGCCACAAACTATTCTTTCCGATGTCTGTGATGGGTATGTCTGTCCAATGCCAAGAGTTGATGGACGAATTGTGGCGCAGGACGATGGGCTTATTTGTAAAGCTGAAAAACATTAGACACACGATATTAAATTTGGTTAAATCTTGTTTTACTTTCATTACTGAGGTATAGTTTTATATTTTCCAAAAAGGAAAGAAAATGAACAGACCTTTTACACTAATGATTTCATCAAATGATTCTTTTCCATCTTCTTGGTTTTCATTTCGATGATAATCACCATGTGTAACGGCAACTTCTACTTCATTTGTGCTATTTATAAAGTTAACATATTCAAAGCCAGAACATACGGCTAACTGGGACAACTTTTGGAGAATGTTTACATCGGACTCTTTCAGAACATCTGTTTTGATCGGCTGTGAAATAGAAAGCACAGCGCCTCTCCCTTCGTAGAATAGAGAACTTTCCCCATGTTTACCTAATGGATACCTTGAGCTTATCTCCTGGAAACCTTCTTCTACGATCAACTTTCCTGACAGAAAAAAAAAATTCTAAGATCAATATTTCGTCGAAAGATAACATCAATAAATGTGAAGAATCTTAATAAATAGGACTCATTGTGCAAATAAACGTTAAAAGCGATACATTTTTGTCTTTTACTCCTTCCTTTATTTACACTCAATAGTATTTTTAACTCAGCTTAAAATGCCATTTTGCATTGAAAATTATCAAAAATTTAATCAGGATTAAATATGACAAACAAAACCCTAGCGTTTTATATAGAACATTAAAATTCCTTATGAATCTGCATATATTTGTAACATACGTGTGGGAAACTCAACACGGATCAATTCCACAAGGGTCGCAAGTGCTGTGGCCATTTTAGCAGAAGCGTATCTTTTTGAGCAAAAAACATTTTGATGTTCATCATTACAGTTAGTGCAAGATGTCTTTGTTTCTCCACACCAATCTTCCCTAGTAAAATTGTCTGGGGCAAAATAAATACTGTCTCCCAGCAGGACGTTAAGCCTAATGACAAAAAAGTTATATATTGAACGCCATTATTCATCATTGATTGAAATATTATTTGAAAAGTTGAGTTTTTGCACTTGTATGTATTATCTATCACCACACGTTTTTCTACATATTTCGTTTAACAAAAGATCATTCAAGAGATGATCTTGCCTAATTGTCATTCATCTTCTTTTTTAAACTAGTAAAATACATGCGTTAACCAAACGACTTTCTCTTTTTTATCAAGTATCATTAAGTAGACATATTTTAAAAATTTTTTGACAAAAAGAATTTATATTACTTTTTAAAAGACGATTGCTGGGCTGAGATCTTGTGAACCATTTTCCCGCATACTTCCTCTGCTGATTTAGGCGGACCAAGATTGAAAGGGGAACCACACTTTGCTGCACACCGTTCACTTATGACTTTTTGTAACATTACCATGTGTCGATGGAATTTGCTTGCTATCAAGACGTCCCTAAATTAATCACGAAATGGCATGTTTGAAACTCTTATTGAATGAAACATTATTGATTAGATTGTATATGAAAAAAGAACTTGAACTATTTACCATATATTAAGTCCGAATGCATGAACATTAAACATTGCTCTTGCTATTTGAAATTCTCCATCAACAATAATTCTACTTCTGTAACAACGTGAAAATGTCGAAGAATTTGATTCTATTTTCACGGTCGGTTTTATTCTGAAAAGAAAATGGATTGGAAGAAAATGTCTACAATTGAATTTTTGCCTTATGAATGGATCTTATTACAGACAAAAATATGAAAACAAGTACGTTATTATAGCAGGAGGCGATAAGATGGCAGATACGTCTTTTCCTGACCATAAAACTGAAGCGTTAAAAACAACCTACAAAATGAATATTTACAAAATTATTATAAAAGGGAAATGCAATGAATTCCCTTAAGCTGGCATCAAAGAAATTCAACATTTTAATCCAATTGGTAGACATACTGTTTGAAATATAGATGCCGTGATATTTGCGTTCCCATTGGTCTCAACATTTAGAGTTCCAGAGTCAATATTCCAGTTATACGTGGTGGCATCGCCTTGTGATGGCTTTCCTTCAGATAGACTATTAGCTGTATCAAAAATTCAAAAATCTTTTACAAAAGTAGAACTGTTATAAAAGTATATCAAACTCTAAGGTCAAGATCAAAAAAATAAAAGAATGTTGGCAGCCAAGGAAATTCATACGAAAGCAGAAAGCTCTAGTGCAAATCACTCAATGATAAGATTTTGTGGACAAATAGATAGTTACAGAAATTCAGAGAGATAAACCATACCCCATCAAATCTCCAATTACACGAACATAAAACATATAGCACATCATACAAGGTATTATAAATCAAACCTGTCGTTTATATTTTGATTAACGCATATGGGAATTTCAAAATTTGAAACAAAGACAACAAATTGTTTTGGATAGAAGAAAAATAAGCATTATTTATCGCAATGATAAATTCATTTGATGATTAAAAATCTTTCCATAAAATATTGAGAAAAAAATCGCTACTTACACAGTGTATATTGTCCATGTGCTTGAAAGCTCGTGTTAACAACGGAATACTGAGATACGGCACCATGGATTTTGGCGAAGACAACATTGTTAGAGGTGACTACCAGCTGGACTGGAGGTAATTTTGGCGCCTTTGCCAAAGTGATATTAATGAGTTCATGTTTGGGTGTATTCCACAACACACGAGAACCGCTTATGGTGGCTTCTTTGAAAAATCGCATTCGGAAGTCTGCGTTCAATTTTAGAACCGAGTCTAACTAAAAACAACATATTTTTATTTCAATTTCACGACAATATTTATATATAAGGGAAGGCATTGAAATAAATACTAGGACATCTTTATGAGTATAGTAATTATATATATTATATATTTAATTTCTACAAACAGTGTCACTTGTAATTATATATATGTCATTCTTTTAATCATATCATATTTTGCATTATCGTAGAAATAACTTACCTGGGAGACGTAATGCTTAAGCACTGGTTTATTATCGACTTTGTATATGAGCAGGTCACTAAAAATACACAGTAAAAGGGGAGCTCTTTAAGAGAGGCTAGAGAACCATGCTTACATTATCTGAGGTAAAATGTAATTCAAAATGAAGTATTTACATGTAATAGAGTAGTGTACTTACAACACATAATTAATTTGGGTAACACTGTAGCATGATAGACAGTCCCAAGTAAAAGTCTTATCCAGAGTGTCTGTTAGGTTTGTATAATTATTATTATCTGTCATGTCCCACTTGATTAAATTCTTCAGACCTGTGTATCGATGCAAAGTAATATTTGACTTTTCGCTGTCCGTCTCATTGTCAAGATTGTAGTGGACTTTCAGGGAAACATTTGCGTGCCAGTCGACGTTGTTTAGGAGATCTGTTAACATATTGGAAAGGTATCTCTTCTGGCGTTTTTTGTTATCCACGTGTGTTGTGTATTGAAGATGTATTTTGGCTTCTTCCAGTATGTCCAGTGGACTACAAAATAAGCAGATTAGAGAAAATCAAAGTGGAAGAGTCAAGGATTTTTTTTCCCCATATTATGAATTTTCTGATTTTTTTTTTAAATTATTTCAAAATGAATAAATTTGCTTATTTCTCACCTCACTGTTTTAGTTAAAATGTCCATACGCGTGTTTGTGGGATGAAATATCTTCCTAACTTTTGCATAAATTCCATTTTCAGATGGTCTTTCCTGTCCTAATGAACAGTTCCATTTGCTGCCTCCTAGTAGAATCTGTCTTTCTTTCCACTGAGGTTTATTATGATTTTCTTTAAAAGCAATCATTATCAATCCATGCCGACACAGAATTCTCTGTTTAAAGAAAAATCTAATGGAAAAGTGGCAAATTTTTAATGATTAATAGAGGCATGAAGCATAAAAAACAAAATCCAATCACAACTGCAATATAACAAACGCCAATGTTTATCGTCAAAAAAAATAGTGTTATTAATTGTTGAGTTAATTCAGAGAATAACTGCCTTCTCATTTATTATAGCAATAACAGAACAGTTTCATTAGAATAGATGTGTAATCATAATAAAATTAACATCGGGATCGATGTCACATATTCTTTTAATGGTGGATGATCCGTCTTGAAATGTCACTGTTTTAAAAGAATTATATAACATTTCTCAAGGGAAACAAATATGAAAATGAGCACTATATCCTCAAAAGTTCCAAGAAGAATTAAGCGTCAAAGGATGGTGTACAAAACATGTAATTTTTTTTCTGTTCTCTTATATACGTCCTTGGGAGGCTTTTTGTTACTAAAAACCTTGATATTTATATCACTGCTTGAAACGTGGGAGGGTATATAGTGATTGGGATGTAATCACCTTTTATACCACTGACTGAATTTGATAAATATTTCATAGAATCTTGGGTACATATTGCCATTGTGCACTGTTATTTTACTTTTTTAATTTGACACATATTTCGAGTTTCCCATAGCAAACTATTAACATTGCCATTCTTTCTATAATATTGAAGGGTACCCATCTCCGTAACTCTCCCCTTTTGATGATACTTTCACAGATTATTATATAATGTCATTATGTACTTCCTCTTTTCCTTCTTGATTTGATATGCCACTTATTTCGGGTCTCCCAGAGCATGGATTTTGCCACTATAATCATATGGGAGGCGGGGTAACATTTTTTAAATCAGTGCCCACAGTACCTCATGTTATACTTATTGTAAATTACGCGTATACTAGTAATTCATACAAGTTATTATATATGCGGTTATTGTTTCTATGATATTAGAAATAGTTCATGCTTTAAACTAAATGGCTTTTACGACATTTGTATCCGTGTCATATTTCTTATTTCACATCCACTTGCTACTGTTCTTCATTCACGAAAACTCGTGTTTACATCGAGTTATGAACCAATCACACTTTAAATAAATAAATAGGGAATAAAATATATTCTTATGAAACTTTCTTAAAGCTTACCTTGATAGAATTTGTTTCGTCTACGTCGATTATTTCTGCAAATCGACCACGGCTGTTAAGTATCAGTAATTCTCCATTTTCATGTTCGTATTTCACTTCGTGGTTAAAAGATCTGCAATGATAATTATCAATGCAAAGAACAATTACGAAAAAAAATAACGGAAACATAGCCTTTTCACTTTTGTTTAGGGAAATGTAAGATATTTTCAACACGTTTCTTGTCTATAAAATTTCAACATTTAGGGGCGGAGCGAATGAATTGCCCACCTTCTAAAATTGACATTACTTGTAAACCTTATCAATATCGATTTTCTCATGTTCGTATATTTTTAAGCTATACCGGTATACCTTTTAGAAAGATAGTTTAAAAGAATATTGCATTCAATTTTGTTGTCTTCACAATTTTTCAATAATATAATTTCTTTAAAAATCTTTCATATTCCAGAAATTGTATATGTGTTAGAATAATTTTTAAAATACATATCAGAATTCAATTTTATCAGCATTAAAATTTATCATTCGTGTTCATATTTGTTTCAATTGTATTTTCTTTCGTATTAAAATAAGAAATATATTATTAAATGAAAACTTTTAGGGGAAAATAAGGTTTATCTGTTCTTTACAGTCTCAGGATAACCTCGTCTTTTGAGGTCATTATAGAAAGACATTTTTCCAAGAAGGTAATTACATTAACAATCTAAAGATTGTTTGAAGAATTAAAATAACGTACTAAAATTAAACCTATGTATATAATCAAATCCATAAAATTTAGATAAAGATGATTTATTTCATTGACAATGGTTTTTATACATTTTTTTTTTGGAAAATGTATATTTTAAAAGTAAAACCTTTTTGTTCATTACAGGTAAATGTTCCTTTTTAAAAATCAACCTTATCAGTTAAATCTTGGCATTGGAAGGGTATATAAAATCTATTCTCACCTGATTTAATCAGTTTCTCGTTAAATGGCCCACGATGTGGCTCGTTCTCGTCGTGTGGGCGTGCAGCTCTACAGCAGCTTTGTCGGTTGTCTGCAATGATAAACCCATCTGTAGCCCGCTACCTTGGTCCCCTTGGGGTGCTTGTAGTCGAACCTGTGGTGTGGGATCACAAATAAGACGGCGCGAAGTATGCGACAAACTAAATTGGACTAATAAAGAGAGAGAAACCAAATGTGGAAAACTGGTGATGAAACAATATAAAAGATGCACCGGAAAATGTAATAACAAAGCAGACTTTCTTCATGGTAAATGCGTTTGTGAAAATGGAAAACCTTCAGCTTGCTGTGAAATTGGTAAATAATTCGAAATTATATTAATTGTATGTGTTTATGTATTTTGATATATCATAAGAAAACAATAGTTTTTTTTTTTCAAAATTATCATTAATTGTAAGGACCCGTGTGTGCGTTATAAGTAAGATGCAGAGAATTGAGAATGTAATTTAAATTAAAAAATAATTTTAAAATTATAATTTAAGCTGATTGCAATTATTCAAGCAATGATTCATTATTTTTTAAAAGATATTTAAATAATAGAATGCTTACTTTGGTTGTTAGTGTGGGAATTAATGCGTATAAGCGGGTTATGTTATTTTTTCTGCAACAGCATTTGAAGTAAAATTGAATATGTTAAATATTGTATTATAGATGAATATGCCATTGTATGTATAACTGATGGAGCAGACATTTCTCAAGAAATCTATGCATTTGACTTGCTTACTGTATTCATGCACTGAATAATGGCAATGGTTTTCCTAAAAAATGAAAGAAAATATTATCAGTGGATGAAAAAAATATTCAGTGGATGTGAATTATATATAGTTTTAAAACTGCAACAGTTTGAAAACAAATTGAGTAACGCACGTCAACGCATTATGAAAATTTTGCACAAAGTTGCAGTTATGAGACTATATCTTTCAAAAATAATTATTCATTGCTTATATTTGCATTTTTAAACTCTCTTCCTTTACTGCAAATGTGATTTATATTTCAAAATCCATGTATTCTCCCTTCGTGTATGGTATTGCTATTGGAAGAGCTCATAAAACAGTAGCTTATAGTCAATGAGAGCATGATTTTTCTTATTCCGTCAAAATAAAACGCATGTTTTAACTTTTTGATCCCTTTCCATGTTATATTGTTTTGAATGTCATAGATTTCTGGATACTACACACAAAATATATGTGAAATGGAAATATGTATACTTCAGCATTGAATCATTATTTATCGAAAGATAGTCCTATAACTGCGACGGCGTGTGCAAATAAATTGCATAAGGTGCGTTAGTGCTTTATGAAAATTTGTTTGCACTCATCGCTAACACTGCAGTTATGACAGTATATCTTTCAATAAGAAAAATTATTCAATTTTCATATCTATTTTTTTTTAATTCTTTGTTATGATACGATTCAATTTTTAAAAACCCTGTTTTATCCTTCTGTGAAGTAACAATAAATGTAAATTCGGAAATCGTATAGTTAAATGCGGATAAGGTCACTTCAGGACATGAGATATTGACGTTTGAAATATTTTAGGTTTTGATAAATGTTATAAATGAGAAATGGGTCTTTTAGAAAAAAATGGAGATATAATTGTTTAATATCAGGATTTCGATACTTTTCTTTTTAAAAATTAGAGATTTTAGGGGGAAGGGGGGGGGGGGTAAAAAGTGAACGACTTAAAGCATCGCTTTTTTCTTAAGAAAAGGGGGGGCAATTTGATTTTTCAAAACAATGAAAGTTCTTCCTCTCTCATACGTTTTACTGTACTCAAAAATTTGTAGTTTTGATCTCTTTAAAGTTAACTCATTCTTTGAAATTTTCAACGCCATACCAGTTATGTAAATACATATACATGCATATTAATGGAAAAGCATATAGCCATCGAAACCGGGCGAAGGCAATAGTAAATCAATTCATAAGTTTTTCTATAGATAGATAAATAAAAAACTAATGCTTTCGATTACTAAGATTTGAATTCAGAATTTATGGGTTTTTTTTTTTTTTTTTACATATTTTTTGAAAAGTGCCTTAAGTGGCTCCATGGTAAAATATATTGATGTAAACTATTAATGCACTTTTTTTTCAAAGTGCATTGATATTGTCCCAATTTTAACGCACTTTGAAATATTTTTTTTAAAGTTCGTTGCCACAAAGCAGCCATTTGATATTATGAAACTGAGGACAAATACGACTGAAAATAAAGGGAAATCTCACTAAAATAGTGATATTCCATTATTATAGAGAAATTAACATTTCTATCCAACCTGTTAGCTGTTGACTTACGGAATCTGTCCCCTAGCAGTACAGGAAAAGCTTGCTAGTCCGCTCCTTTCAAGGCAAGTTTAGAAAAAAAAAACTTGCTTTCAAACTGGAATTCACGCGACGCCGCCCTTCACTAAAGGGAAGTGAGAAAATTATTTATCTGTATTTGTAAGACTCATTATTAAACAAAAAGAAGGGATATACATGTATTAACGAAGAAGAAGAAAAGTTTCCATAGAGTCTGGCATATCTTTTCCGTACGAATGTAAGCTCTTTCACGATAAAAATATTTAGCTCAACGTTCAAATTAAACGAAATATTGAGTTACATCAAAGGACAAATAAGTTGCCCTTGAAGAAAATGACAACCACTCCACCCTCAACTCCTGGCTTTCACAAGTTAGTGCCCCTACCATCATACCTATGACCACTAGAAAGGGTTTCTTATATTATCAATTCAGGTTTAAATGTCAAAGTAAACCGTAAACTGCACAACTCAATACTTCTCGTTAAAGGGACATGGACACAGCATATGCTGAAAATTTTCATTTTTTGTGATTACTGATCTAATGTTTTTCAAATGATCATCAACAATTTGTACTTCATTTGTCCAGACACAAGACAGATTTCGAACTCTAAACCTTTGTTATGTAAAAAGACCCATGTCATGTTTTTGTTGATATAGGTTAAATATTCTAAAATGCAGATTTTTTTCAGTAAAGATATTATATATATATATATATATATATATATATATATATATATATATATATATATATATATATATATATATATATATAAAGCACTAAAAATGACCAACGACACGAACAATAGAAATTGTCAAATTTTCGGGACGCCCTGTCCCTTCCTCAGGACAAAGAAAAAAGTTAAAAAGTCATAAGAACAAAGGAAAAAGAGAAACAAAAACAACTAGCACTACTACTAAACTACTAAACACTAGATATTTACATACTTAATTACATGATGAATTGGAAATTTTTAAGAACACTAATAAAGAAAGAAATCCGGACCGCTATGAAATGCGTCCGGTCTATCGAGTATACTCGGGTGAAGTGCGATTTACATAATTGAACGAATTAATTATGCTAATTAATAACGACAATCAGTAAATCGTACATTGTTTCATTCTCTCAAAATGGCGTAACTTTACTTAATAAAGAATAATCGAAGAAAAATAATATAGCAGGGATATTTAAACATATGAATTATGATCAATTATAAATTTTGAAATATTTAAGGACTTATATTCCGGGAAAAAATAATTAACAAAGGTGTAAGCAATACATAGTTATGAGAGTTGCTCGAGAGTTGGTGACGCAAATTAACTGTAGAGTTTACACTAAATTGAGAGAATAATCTTGTTTAGTATCATCAGGAATTGGGTCTAGTTTACGTTCATTCTGGTGAAGTCATTCAGTTTGTTAATACCATTAGGGCGGAATGACTTCAATCTGTGCATCCAGAACTTTTCTTTGCTTTTTTTCTGAGCATCTGTCCATCTTGGGTTATGGTCAATCACCACTACTGTCATGTCCTCCCATTTGTGACCCTCAAGGTTGAAATGTTCCCCAACGGGTTCATTGAGTTTTTTGGTCCTAATGGTCGAACGGTGGTTATTGACTCTCCTGCGGAGATCTCCTGTTTCACCAATATACTGTTTGGAGCAAACTTTGCAACTGATGAGATAAATGCAGTTGTCAGTATGACAGGACAAATTCCCTAGTATTTTGTAGCTGCGGCCTGTAACAGGGCTGTTAAAACTGTCTGTGTCAGTGCTGTGCTTACAAAGAAGACATCTTCTGTCAGAGCAAGTTTTAAAGCCCCCGTTAGGTAATGGGTTGTCCAGTCTGGTTCTTACTACCATGTCCTTTAGGTTCCTTGGGCGTCTGTATGCAGCCAATGGGGGTTCCTTAAAGACCTCTGTCATTCGTTTGTTTGAATGGAGAATTGGTAGGTTCTTTTGAAGGATACCGCTAAGGTTCTTAAGGACGGGATGGTATGTGGTTACCAAACGTATTCCTAGATACTACATCTACCCTGATTGATGGTGAAATCGAATTCAGTCTCCACACCAAACCCACAGACTCCCACCTATATCTTATGCCCTCTAGCTGTCATCCCCCACACACTTTTAAGGGAGTGCCTAAGGGTCTAGCCACCAGAATTCGGCGCATCTGTTCGTCCCCTGCCTTATATCAGGAGCAAAGTGGTCTTCTTAAGTCCCACTTATGCAAAAGAGGCTACAATGCCCGCACCGTACAAACAGCTATTGATGAGATGGCGGGACATGACAGGCAAAACCTATTACGCTACAAGGAGAAAGACAATAGCGGCAGGGTCCCTCTGGTAACCACATACCATCCCGTCCTTAAGAACCTTAGCGGTATCCTTCA